TGTATGGTGCATAAAATACATGAAATCGGCCGAAAATATATATGAGAGCTATATCCAAATCTGAACCGATTTTAATATAATTTGACTAATTTATTTTCTAATCAAAATCCCGGCACACATTCCCAATTTCAATGGAATCGAACATACGTATCGTGTTTTGTGCATCAAATATGTGAAATCGGCGGAAAATATATATGGGAGCTATATCCAAATCTGAACCGATTTCAATATAATTTGACATATGTATATTCGTTTTAATTTCTGCAACACATTCCAAATTTCATTGAAATTAGAGATACATAGCGTGTTTGGTGCATCAAATACATGAAATCGGTCGAAAATTTATATGGGAGCTATATTCAAATCTGAACAGATTTCAATATAATTTGACAAATTCATTTTTGCTCCCAATTTCGTTACTTATTTTAAATTTCATTAAAATTGGACATACATATCGTGTTTGGTGCACCAAATACATGAAATCGGCCAAAAATGTGTATGGGAGCTGTATCCAAATCTGAACCGATTTCAATATAATTTGATAAATTTATTTTCGGATCAAATACCGTTAAAAATTTCAAATTTCTTTGGAATCGAACACTCATATCGTGTTTGAGGCATCAACTGAACGAAATCGGTCGAAAATATATATGGAAGCTATATCCAAATCTGAACCAATTTCAATAAAATTTGGGAAATCACTTTTTTAGCGTGTTTGGTGCATCAAATGCTTGCAGTCGGCCGAAAATATATATGGGAGCTATATCCAACTCTGAACCGATTTCAATATAATTTGGCAAATTTATTTTTGTTCCAAATTCCGTTACGCATTCCAAATTTGGAGACTGTATCTGTAATCAATTAATAGATATGTGCATACAAAATCTAAATTTTTGGGAGGTACCTCCGATTCTGATGCTATATATCCACTTCCAAGTAGAATTTCATAAATATATATAGCCTTTGTTACTTTCAGGCGATGTTGCAGTATACATGTACATTTTCAGGAAAATCTGTTCAGCGGTTTTCGAGTCCATAAATTACAAACAAACAAACAAACATTTTCCTCTTTTAGAGATATAGATATGGCCAAAATGTGCCTCATGGAAATTACAGTTTTAGACCCTAGGTCTCTTTAGACCAAATCCGTTTCAGGATATTTGATCCGTCATTCCGTCCGTTTGTATGTATATCTGGCTGGTGCGCCCGATAACTCTAGAAGGGAGTACCGATTGTGGTCCAAATATGGTATATCGAAATATTACTGTCAAATTATGATCGAGTTCGGAACATCCGATTCCATTCAAACTTGGTACATCATAGTTTTCAATTAACACAAGATCTGTTATAAAGATGGTAGAAATCGGACCTTTCCTTGTAGTACCTCCTCCGCAAAGGCTGGTGCTCCGATAACTCTAGAAGGGAGTACCGATTGTGGTCCAAATATGGTATTTCGAAATATTACTGTCAAATTATGATCGAGTTCGGAACATCCGATTCCATTCAAACTTGGTACATCATAATTTTCAATTAACACAAGATCTGTTATAAAGATGGTAGAAATCGGACCTTTCCTTGTAGTACCTCCTCCGCAAAGGCTCAAAGTTCTGAATAACCAAAACGATTATAAAATCCGAAATAATCATCTGATTCTCTTCATATTTCGCACATCCCATTATTTTCATTAACACAAGATCTACTGTAAAGATGTAGTATATCTGTCCACTCCTACTGGTACCTTCCCCACAAAGGGTCAACATTTGATTACCCATTAACCTCATAAAACGCGAAATTAAAATCCGATTACATTCAGACTTTGTACATCTCAATATTTCCATCAACACAAGATCTGTTATAAAGATTGTAGAGATCGGACCATTTCTTCTGGTACCTCCCCACATATGGTTCAAGATTTTGAAAAACAAAACGCGCAAAGAAATCGCAATTAGCATTCAACTCTCTTCAAATTTCACACATACAAACATTTTTGCTAACACAGGATCTTTTGTGAAGATTATAATTATCTGCGAACCCCTTCTGGTTATCTGTCATAACTTGCAAAATAAGTAAGCGATTCATTACAACCTGTTATATCTAAATATTTTTCTCAACAAGAAACCTGCGATGAAATTTTGCATCTTAAAGTAGAACATTCTTCACCATATCTACCGTTATTTTCTTTTCGGAATTTTTAAAATCGCCCTTTAATCCTGCCAATATAAGTGACCCTGTCAATTTATTGCCAATGTTCAGAGCCACTATTACGATGTCATTGACATATTCTTGAATCAATACAAACTTCTAGTTTACCTCTTCCAAATTTAGCAGTTATTATTACCAGATAAGTTCGCCCGAAATTTTAATACCCTCCACAATTTTGAATTAAATTTAAAAATTAAAAAAAGGCCGAAAATAGCGCTCAAGTAACCGCAAAAGTATAGGGGCTTTACAATGATTTGGTCCTGCAAAAGTAATTTTTTGTCATAGGCTGTAGTACCCATTACGAACTTTGATTATTAAATTTGAAAAAAATTCCGGTGAAAAATTTCGATAATATCATCCTAATACCAAATAAAGGGAGGTGCCATTGTATTCAACTTTGTTTACTTGTTCGATTTAGGAATTTGGAAATTTTGGGACCAATTTAACTATTATTTAACATCTTCGTGATGGGTAATTGAACTCCTCTTAGAAAATATATTTAAAGTAGGTCAATTTTTTTATATAGTCCCCATACCATGGTACCATCTGATTTTCAGTATATTAAAGGTTTATGTCCGAATTTCTAACCAAGTCAGCGGTCGCAGTTGTTAGTTTAACTCCTAGCAAAAATGTCAATAAGACTGCTCTTTTAAAAATCGCATTTAACAGTATCTTTGATTTTCGGTACTTTTTAACTGTAATTTGACATTTCTCTGTACAAATTGAAACTCCTCAAAAAAAAAAAAGTAGTTTATTTCTGCCGGCCAAACTTTTTATACCCTCCACCAAATACCGTCGAAAAATACCTCTCAAAAGAAATCCGTTATATAGGATCTTTACGAAGACGCTGATCTGTGCAAAATTTTAGCCTCCTATCTTAATTCGTTTTGACTGTAGCATGACTACAAGGGAAGGACAGACGGGCAGGACTTAACTTTGTTAGGTCTAAAATTATTATTTCAATGAGTTACAAACGGAATGACGAACTTAATATACCCTCCATACTATGTGTGGTGGAGAGTTTTAAAAAAATGTAGGTCCAAATTTTGATAATGCCACATATAAAAGCACCCTATGATTTCCACTATGTTGAAGGTTCAGCGGACATTTAAGATTTCGGGTTCTCAATGAGTTGATTAAGTCCTCGGGAAAAATATTCAATATAGGGTAAGTGTACCAGTAGTCGGCACTTTTAGGCTTTTCAATATTTTAATCTTTCGACATTCTGAGTGAAATCTTTCAATTGCAGAAAAATAAACTTGTTCAGATTCCAAATTTTGTTTAGTTTTAGAAATAATAAACAACAATTGAATTTGTTTTTATTAAATTGGCAAATCGGCACCATTTTCAAATGCTCGGCATGTCTATTTGTCAGTAGTCGGCATATGCTATTTCAGTAAAAAAAATATTATTTTGTATATATTTTTTATTTCAAATGTTAAAAAATAATGCTGTAATACTAATTCACAGTTTAATTAACTAATTTCGTTTTTAAATAGTGTTTTATTTAATTATCATTATAAACCAAATATAGGTAGAAAATCAAGAATAATATGGATTTTCAATTAAAATAAAAATTAGATTAGATAAAAAAGTACCTTTCTTATATTTGTAATTTGTGAATTGATCTTTTTCCTTTAGATAACCAACATTTTTTTTAAATGCCACCGCTATCTAAAACGTCAAATAGCTGATTTAAAAAAAAAAAACCTACTTAATGTCGAAAAGTTGGTCAAAAAGCACAAATTAAAGCAACTGCCGACTCAAAACTATTTTTTTAATTGAGTAGTTTTAGGATTATTTTTTAATACTTTTGTCAAGTTTTGGTGAAATAGGTCAAAAATGATATTTTTCTAGTAATCGGCACACCCTGCCGACTACTGGCAAATCTCTTTTTTTCTGTTCCTAATGACGCCACCACTAGTTTTTTCTTTACAAACAAGAACTATCGCACGGTTTGGAAGACACTCACTGACGAAAACCCTTATTCTCTCGTAATAAATGATCGGAGCTCATTGTTTTTTTTTACAGAAAGAGAGCAGAGAACACTGCTGACGTTTTTTTGCAATTATTTCATTATTTGGTCAATTCCATTTTTAGATATTTAAGTTTAAATTTCAAAACTGCCGACTATTGGGGCATGCCGAACTTAGGCGCACTTACCCTAGGTGTAATTCAAATATAACAGAATATCCAAAGATTTATGATTTTAAGCATTAACGATTTGGCCATGAGGATAGTTATCGAATAGTGGAGTGTATATAATGTTCTGCCCAGCCAAAAATTCAAACTCTCATAATTTAATAAATGGTACCCATCCTATTTCATCTTCTCGGTACTGTAATGCTCTATAATTAACTGCGGAAACCAACAAGTGATTTTCAGTTGCCCATGGTCATCACAACAGATGACCAACAACAGAGCTGTTTAGTTAACATTTCTGCATGGCTGCAAAAGGACAACTGTTAAGTGTGTATTTCCACATTTTACCCATACTCATAATATATTACTACAGCCTTTTAAAAACGTTTATATCGCAGTACAGATACAGTGACATTTCCGTAACATAACACCGACTGGCTGGTGGTGTAAACAATGGCTATGTTAAAACACATGTTTGACACCTCCTCACTCGACGAGGGTGAGTAGCATGCGCGTGTGTAAGTCTGCAAACAAAACAATGTTAGAAATTATGTTCTACAGATATTGTTTAAGATGTTTTGCGAGTCAACCGATATAAATCTCCTGTCGTACAATTCCATTCACAATTCAGTCAGTCAGTCACACGTGTACTTTCAGACGTTGCACTTCGAACAGAAATTCCAAACGGAACGTGAAACGTGGGTGTTTGCGAGCAAAACACAAAACAAAAGAGAAGAGTAAACCAAACAAAATAGGAAAAAAGGAAAAGTAATTGTCAACACAAGGCAAAAGTCAAATTGTAGAGAAAGAAAGAAAAAAAGTAAAATTGAAGCACAAAATATTAAAGTGAGTTAGTTGGAAGGGCCAACACCAAGCAACCAACCATCCAACCAACCAACCGATATCAAAGAGAAGAAGCAAACAAAAGTGAAAGTGAATTATATTCTTTGTTGTCGTTGTGGATGCTTTCACTTTCTTATATGTGTTTGCGAGTGTCTATTAAAGCCATCTGATGTTGATGATGGTAAAAGTGTTGAAAGTGAAATTGAGCTTGAAATCATAAAATAAAAATTGATAGGGAATTGAAAACATGTCATGTACAAAATCTGGACATAGTTGATTTCTTTTGAAGGTATATTAATCATACGCCTTGTGTACCAAACCCAGTGTGGCTGTGATAATTTAAGAAAAGAAAACAAAACGAAAGTGGAGGAATTTTAATGAATTTTTATCAATTCACGCCAAAGGATTTAAATCCAAACGAAGAAATCGAAAAGGTAATAGAGTTTACAATTTAAGAATTAATCCTTAATAATGTTCCAATTTCCTGAATTAAATTTCTAAATATTTTTGCTGTGTAATGCGACCTTCTCAAAATGACAAAAGGCAAACCATTTGTGTGTCCCGTGTGATGCTCGCTCGGTGGTGTGCGTGTGTGTGTGTGATATGTCTCATGTGACAAAATGATGCTTCTGTAATTTTAATAATGGAATATGTATGTTTTAGATCACTGAAAATCATGTCTCCTAAGTGAAGCGAAACGAATGAAAACGGCAAAAGTTGAACGGAACCGTAAATGATATGGGCTAAAGTCTGTGATGTGTTTGTCGGATTTTTTGTGTGCTCATTGGAGTTTTAACAAAGTTTTAATTGAAATGTAACATAAAATATAGAATTAATCATGATATGTTCTGTAAAATGAGACCGGAACTGAAGTGAAATTCAACAACCTTAACAAAAAATGTATCCTAATTTAAAATTTACACATTAAACTCATCATGTGTTTTCAAAACAGAGGGAGTATAATTATAGGTTTAAGTCCAACAAGGAAAGGATAAAAGTCGGGAGAAGGCAACTAAATGATATCCCATACCACTATGCATATTCAATAGTTCTATGCCAATAATCAATATACCAATCTTATCAACTGTGAGCTTCAAAATCGTATTGAATTGATATTTGGGGAGCTATACTTAATCTGAAGCCGCAGCGGCCAACTGCAGGATATCTTGTTCCATACATTCTGTCTACCTAACAATGTAATAAAGTTCACTACTTTTCATACACGTCCATATATTTTTGTGAACAATATGTAGGTCGCATTTATTATCCGATTGAGATGAAATTTTGCAAACAATATTTGTTTTGCCCAAGGACGAACCCTATTGTAACTGATGATAATCGGATCAGATTTAGATATAGCTCCCATATATCTTCAACCGATTTCGGGTTAATATGTTTCATCGGATCTTGTTTTTAAGTCCCTCACATTCGTAACATGCATTCGACAACAACGATATTTGTATATATTATATATTGTATATATTATAGAGCTCAGAAATACCTTTGCCAAATTTTATCGAGAACGGCTAAAATTTCAATATAGCTCCCATATATATCCTTAATGCGATTTCAGGTTTATTGTGCAAATAATGACTAATATCAGCCCAACTGGAGTGAATTACAGGACGTACGTTTCCATTTTGTGGAATTCGGCTCCGATATGTATTTCATACTCTCCACCATAGTATGGAGGGTACATTAAGTTTGTCATTCCGTTTGTAACACCTCGAAATATACATTTTAGACTCCACAAGGTATATATATTCTTGACCAACATACAATTCTATGTATATTTAGCGATGTCCGTTCGTCTGTCCCTCTGTTGAAGCCACTCTAGCTTCCGAACAAAATGAAGTAGGTTGATAAAATTTTACTCAAGTGTATATTATGTCTGCAGGACATTTGGTATTGAAAAGGGTGCATGTAGGTCCACGTTTTTATATAGCGCCCATATAATGGTACCTCCCTATTTTCCGTACTTTGGTGATTTGAGCTACATTATTCACCGTATTTGTTTCAAATTTGGTATTTGCAGTTCGTAATGTATACTACAGCCTATGACAGGAAATTGTCTGTGTAGGTCCACGCCTTCCTATACTCGCCATATAACGGCACCCCTCGACATTCGGTACTTTGATGATTTTAGCGACATTAATCACCGTAATTGTTTCAAATTTCGAATTTGTAATTTGTTATGGATACTCCAGCCTAAAATTTCCTGTGCAGGTCAACGTCGTCGTATATATACGGCTATATTCGGTATTTTTATACCCTACACCGCAAGGTGGTCAGAGTATTATGTCTTTGTTCATTTGTTTGTAACAGGCAAAAGGCAACGAGATAGACCCATAGTTCCTTTTGATGATCTGCATAGAATCACATTCTGAGTCGATTGATGCATGTCCGTCCGTCTGTCCATGTATTATTGTAAACAAAGTACAGTTCGCAATTATTGCCCTATCCAGATGAAATTTTGCACAAATCATTTGTTTGGCCCAAGGTCAAAATTTAGATATAGCTCCCACATATATATCTATCCCTTTTATTGTGCACCAAACGTGTAATATCAGCCCGAATAGTATTTGATTTTGCACATACAACCAAATTAGGCCTGAAAATAAGTATGCCAAATTTGATCGAAATCGGTTCAGATATAGCTATAGCTCCCATATATATTGTTCATCCGATTTGTTATTTTTGTCCTTCGCAGCCGTAATATGCACTCTGTAAAAACAATATTTGGGCAAATATATCAAATACAGCCCCGAAATACATTTACCAAATTTTATCGAGATCGGTTCAGATTTGGATATAGCTCCCATATATAACTTCGTCCGATTTATCTTGGATTGTGCACCAAACGTCTAATATTTTTAAAAATGGGATGAAATTTGGTACTTAGGACCGAATTGATTCTAGAAGCTAGTATGTCAAATTTGGTGAAGATCGGTTGAGATATAGCTATAGCTCCAATATATACTGTTCATCCGATTTGTTATATTTGTTACCCACAGCCGTAATATGCACTCCGTAACAACGATATTCAGGGAAATATATCAAATACAGCTCAGAAATATATTTGCAAAATTTTATGGAGATCGGTTCCGATTTGGATATAGCTCCCATATATATTTTGATCCGATTTCAAATTAATTGTGCACCAAATGGGCAATACAAGTCCGAATTTAAAAGATACAAATGCTTCGGCATATTTAGTCCTTTGAACTTTAAATTACAATTATAATCATAGTGTGTATGAAGATTTGAAGAGATTTTAGCGGATTTTAATTTTTTGAAAAGGTTTGAGCTAAAAACGTGAAATTTAGAATGGAAATCAGGATTGAGGAGCAGGGTGGATGTAAAAGAGGAGTTTTGTGTACTAGTGTGAACTCATGAAAAGTACTAAACGGCACTAAATTTGGCACACTTTGAATAGGGAGGAACGGATGGAGATGGAATCCTGAAATTTTATATTAACATTGCTGAATGTACTAAATTTGTAAATGGTACTAAATTTGTACACTTTTAATTTTGGGTTAACCGGTAGAATTGGAATTCTGAAATTTGGAAATAAGTTTACTATTGCATTGTAGGATGGGCTATGTAGGTAGTTTTGGAAATTCGTACTTATGTTTACTAAGTGGTACTAAATTTGGTACAATTTGGATTTGGGTAAACCAATTGAGCTTGTATCCTGAAATTTGTTGAAATGTAGGATTGGGATATGGAGGAAGTTTTCGAAATGTGTACTTATGTGCACGAAAAGTATTAACTGGTAATAAATATGGTACACTTTCGATTTCGGTGAACCGATAGAGTTGGAATTCCGAAATTTGGATTATTATTGCATTGTAGGATTGAGGTTTTGGAAATTCGCACTCATGTCTACTACATTTAATACAATTGGGTGAACATTTAATACAATTGGGGAATCCTCAAATTTGGAATTTAGATTACTGTTGGAGTGTAGGATTTGGATATAAAGGCAGTTTTCGAAATGTATACTTAAACTAAACTGAACTAAATTAACGTGAAAGAATACTGCTTGCGTGTAGGGTTAAGATTTGGAGGTGGCTTTGGAAATAAGTATTAAGAAGTACACAATTTGTTATATGGGAAAGTGATAGAGGTGGAAGTCTAAAATTTGGCATTATAATCACCTTTTGTGCTGTTTGGTTAATACTTGGCTGGGGATTTGGAAATACGTACCAATTAGTAATAACTTTATTCGTGCGAACTACTGCAACGCAGAATTATTGGTGAGTGCGCTCTTATAAAGTTAGCCGAAGTCCAGTTTTTAAGTCAAAATTATGTAACACCTCGAAATATTGGTCCCCCACATGGGAACCAATGCTAGCTCGCCGAACTGAGTCGATCTAGCTATGTATGTCCGTCCGTCAATGTTAATTTGTAATTAAGCCTAACTTTTATGTAAGGAAATACGAAAATTTCCACTAAACCGCGAATATTTTTAATCCCAGCCAGACCGTAAAGGTGACGCTGATAGCCAAGACATCGGATATATAGCAAAATAGATCTTATTTATTCTGCTTATAAGTCAAGAACCGCTGACTAAAAAATCTAAGAAAATTCCCTAAATACATGGCAATAAAAAAGTAAATATTGTTTGTTATATTATTTATATTTATACCCTACAACACTATGTGTTGGGGGTATTATAAGTTTGATTGGGCCATAAATTATGTAACACCACGAAATGTTGATTTTCCATATAGGAAACTATATATGAATCTTCCTATCTCGTCGAGCTGAGTCAATCTAGCTATGTATGTCCGTCCGTCCGTCTGTCCGTCTGTCCATGTTAATTTATAATCACTCCACAGGTCGCAATTATAGTCCGATCCTCACGAAATTGAAAATGGTTGTGGGGTTGTGATCAGAATAGAACCCTATTGCTTTCGGAGATGATCGCATAATATTAAGGGTTGAAATGGACCAAAAACTGAAAAATTTCGTGATTTTGCAGTTGCTGTACAGGTCACAATTATAGACCAATCGAAGCGAAAGTTAGCATGGGGCTAGAGTTTTGGGCTGGGCAGAAGCCTTCCAATTTTGATAAATAGCATTTGTGATAAATAAAAGTCAAATTTTCCATTAAACCGCGAATGTTTTTAATGCCGACGAAATCACAAATAGACGAACAGGTCAATTCTGACCGTTACGTAGATAAAAAAAAAATAGTAAAAATATCGGATATATATAGCGAAATATATACAATGTGTACATACAAAGGAAGGGGATGTTAGCTAGAATGCTTATATCTCATGAATGGCTGGAACGATTTTGACAAATTTTGTCAATTCAGAATGCCCTCTTGGCATACATGTATAAAATCTAAAAAAAATCGCATAAAAAGATGTCAATAATGTTGTTAATATATGTTTTTTAGTATTTTGTGAAATTTTTTTATTTT